ATTATCAATCAATTTCATTTTTAGTAGTTCTCGTTTAGTGTAAATGGCTCTGTGCCAAAACGTATATTGAAAAGCAAAGAGTTTCGTGTCTTAGTGGATGTCTATATTGTGAAAATATTGTTTTCCAATTTATCAAATCATTTAGTTCCCCGTTCCATTTAAGACACACATTCGATATGTTATAATCAGATATGAAATTATCATAGAATATCCTTGAGCCTTTACTAGGTTTAATCAAATGATTCCAATGTGAACACGTAGATAACGTCGGTATATTAAAATTGTTTTTGTTCGTATAAGTTCTTTCCACTGTTTGGGTATACTAAGAAGAATACGATTAAAATCAAGTACGATACCCTCAATGCTAAATTTTCCGCAAATGTTAGAAAATCGTGGTCTTTACAAATATCTTTAATATACACTACTCCACATGTAATCCAGTTATGAATGATCAAACTTGGCTGGTTACACTGGTGATTTAGCCGAAGTGGTTGCATGAGTATTTCATTTATATCGCTATTGTTACATACAGATCTTTTAACATACCTATGCCAGGCATCAAGAGAGTCTGTCAAAAATGGATTTATAACTTTATAGTGTTTTGTAATGTTGGCTCCTAGGAGAAGAAGGTTTGTAAGGGGGAAACCAGCAGGATCATAGTTCTTAGATTTTGAAATATATCTCTTCAAGCATGAACGTTTTAAAGAGTCGATAAAGGTTTTCACATCGACCATTCTTAGACCACCTTATTCGTACATTCGCACTAAATTAATTCGTTTGAATAATCTGTTCAAATCAGTAATAAATGTTTTCGGGGGATTAGGGAGAGATGAGAAGATGTGGACAGTCGTGAATAAAGCTATCTTTACGACGGTTATATTCCCTGTCAACGTCAAATTACGTCTTTTCAAATTCAGTAGAATTCTTTTTATATTTTCGAGTCTCTTCTTTGTATTGATTACCCATACCATAGGTTTTCTAAATGACCATTTAATTTGATTCCCAATCAGTCGAAATTCTCATTATGCCAATCCAGCTTATAGTCATGGGATAAAACTATTTTTTGCCATTGAACCTAGCCATACTGCTGTGGTTTAGTCAATATTTATTTTCAAACCTGACATCTTATAAAAGGAGAGCAAGTTATCACAACTTCATTAAGAGAGGTTTCGGAACCGTCCAAAAACGATTCAGTGTCGTCTGCATGTTGTATAGGGGTTACTTTAAGAATATATCGTCCATTTTGAATTTATAATGAGACACCTGGACACCTGGTGTGTCTATTTTTAGACTAGGGTGGGTATATAAAGTCCCCCCCGAACAGTCCTCCATATCATTCTGACTTCAGTCGGGCTACGTACGGATCTTATGTTCTTGACTCTACTGGTAGCTGTTTACCTCGAAGATGGAAACCATTCACCGCGAGATCCTTAGGAAGAACCGCTCCGATCTCGTGACATGTATACAACGTGTAGAAGATGTGGTCGACAAACTGATGCAGTTTGGTGTGCTTACTTGTTTCATGAAAGCTGAGATTATTGAGAAACCACGGACGTCTTTTGATCGGGTCCGAGAATTGTTAGATATGCTTCCTAGACGGGGCCCTCAAGCTTACACCCTCTTCTGCAAAGCACTGCAGGAATGTGGAGAGATACAAGCGACGACATTGCTGGGGGTAGAGACTGACAAGCAGATGACAGAACTACAGGATCCCAGATGTCATTTACATCTGGGGGACAACGTCTATGTGACAGCCAAGACATGGGATGGTGTATTGAACATTCATGTGAGGAAGTATGAAGTATACCCGGGTGGCACGGCCTATCCAACCAAGCGAGGCATTGTGCTGAGTTTGAAACATTGGGTGGATCTCCCAGGAGCTATTCGATTCATTGAGGAGGCTGTCAAGGAAGGGAAACCTAACCCACAGTGGCATTTGGGAGCTAATGTGTTTGTTGCGATGGATAGTACGGGTATAGAGATTCGACAGTGTTGTTGGGATAACTCTATGCAATCTATGGTTCCTCGTGCCAAGGGTATACTGCTGTCCCTGGACCAGTGGAAGAAACTAGGATACTGTGTGGAAGTGATGCCTGATTTTGTGCCCGAACTGAAGGGCATGGTCCCCTGTATGGCACAAGAGGATCATCAGAATCAGATGGGGTACCTCCAGTGTTCCTTCTGCAACCCCAATGGACATGACATGTGGAGTAACTGACTCTGTTTCTATGGATGGAAGTCACCCTTCAGCAACTTCCATCCAGCTGTGTTTACCTTGGATGGTATTACATTTAATTGTGTTGAGCAGTGTTACATGTACTCTAAAGCAATGTACTTTGGAGATTTGGACAGTGCAAAGTGCATACTACAAGAGACTTCACCGGCAAAGCAAAACGTCTTGGGAGATGTGTGAAAGGCTTTACTCAGAAAGTGTGGGACACTGTCAGTCTTGATGTTATGACAAAGGCTGTAATGGCTAAATTCTCCCAGAACAGTGACTTGAAACACGTATTGATTCAATCCTATCCTAAGCCGTTAGCTGAAGCTAGCCCCTTTGATAAAAGATGGGAATAGGAATTGATGCATCGCATCCGGATATTGACAAACCCTGGAAATGGCCAGGGGAAAACTTGTTAGGAAAAACACTAATGTATGCCCGTGAAAAGTTGTTGTAAAAAATTGTCTTTGTTGTGAATAAAATATTGTATCGTATGTTTGTCTTGGGTTTTGCTTAAATAGTATGATGTATGTGAGTTATGTTTAGTTGTGTTTGAGATGGCACCTTATGAAGACTACTTGAATAGGATCTATTATGATCCAGAACATCCTGGTAGTTATGCTGGACCCAAGAAGTTATAATGAAGCTGTCAAAGCTGAGGGTCAGTTTAAAATTGGTCTACATCGAATCAAGAAATGGCTGAAAGGTCAGGAGAACTATACCATGACTCATCAAGTTAGGAGAAAGTTTCCAAGAAATAAGTATGTGGTGGAAGGTTTAGACAGTCACTGGCAGTCTGATCTCATGGATATGGTATCACTGGCAAAGTACAATGATGGGGTCAAATACCTCTTAGTCATCATAGATCTGTTTTCACGTTACTTGTGGGTAATTCCACTCCAGTCTACGAAAGGTCAAGAAGTGGTGAAAGCATTAACCAACTTATGGAAAACCGAAACACGAAAACCTAAACTATTTCAATCTGACATGGGCACAGAATTTAAGAATCGATGGGTAAAAGCCTTTTCGAAAAAGCACAAGGTAACCCAGCTGTTTACACTGAATGAAACCAAGGCCCCTTATGCTGAGAGAGTGATTAAAACCATTAAAATGAGACTGTATCGTTACATGTTGAAACACTTTACATACAGATATGTGGATATTTTACCAGATGTAGTCAAGAGTTACAACCACACCAAACATAGAATGTTAGGACAGTCGCCTGTTAGTGTAACTCATAAAAATGAAGATGAAGTACGACTTTCTCAGTATTTGATTCAACCCCGGACATTTAAACTCAATAAAAAGAAGTTCACCTTCAAGGTGGGTGACAAAGTCAGAGTGAGTCATCTTAGGAGAACATTTGACAGAGAATACCAGGAGAAATGGTCTGGTGAAATCTTTACAGTCATCAGAAGATATTGGTCACAAGACAATGACATGTACAAGCTGAAAGATTGGGGTGGTGACCCTATTGAAGGTGCCTTTTATTCATCAGAGCTACAAGCAGTGATAGAAAACCCAGATCAGGAGTATAGAATTCAAGATATAGTCAAAAAGAGGACCAGAAATAAACGGAAAGAAGTCTTAGTGAAATGGCTTCATTGGTCGAAAAAATACAATTCTTGGATCCCAGAAGCAGAAGTGAAACAGTATAAAAGCACAATGTAAACTCTTTTCAAAGTCATTTATGATGGAAGAGACAGTAGAGACACATCCTCTCTCACGCAGCAGGTCTGGTGAAAGTTGGACTTTGCTAGGTCGAAAAGTGGCCAAAACAGAAACAGTGTTTTTCTCTCAAATCATCATTATTTACATTGTGGTGATTACGTGTATTGTCAATTTGTCCTTGGGCAGAGGAAACTCCAATTTGTGGACAGCTCTCCTCAGTTCCAGTCTAGGATACCTGTTACCAAATCCCAAGATTAAATCAAAACATGGATAAATACATTACGATCAGAAGTACAGATAGTGAACACCTCTATCCCAACAACAAACCTTATAACTTCAGAGTGAGTTTGAATGAACCATTACATCTTGACCAAAGGTGGAGGATAGGACTGACAGAAATATCTATATTGTCCTTGGACATAGATAAAACAAAATCGGAACGTCGTGACTTATATGTCTATTCCTCATTGTGCGATTCATCACATGTAGGGGAAACAAAACAACCTTTACTCAGACATTTATGTCTCATAGGAAACCGAAAAGAACATTCGTTTTCATTTTCTCAGTGTCAGTATGTCCCTATGAATCTCAGAGATTTTCAGACTGTGGATGTCTATATAACAGACCATGGGGGCAATCCAGCTTCATTTATCCGTGGACCAGTGACAGTGACGCTTCACCTCAGGCCGCTCCCATTTTGGTTTTCATCATGAATAATCCACGATACAAACTCTTCGTACCCGATGCCGAAAAATGGACACGATTTTACATGCTCAGGGCTGAAGGGAAAGGAGACCCTTATCATTCTATAACACGTGGAGGAGAAAAATCTGCCATGTTGTCTGTCGATCGATATTTGGAACTGTATGATCCAGAGTGGAAGAAAGACAAACAAAAAACCAGAAACCACAGAGCAACCTAAGATTAATTTCGTTACCCCTACTCAACAAGTGGTTGAACAGGCCAAGGCTCTTATTCAGATGCAGAAGAAACCTATAAAAAGGGGAACTAAAGCTGGAAAAAACAGTTCTTCCCAGAAGCGCAAGCTGTGCACATCTAAAAGAAGTGGCTCTGGAGATAACTTGGACATACCCGCCAAAAAGAAGAAATAATGGCTTCATACACAGAAAGTATGTCCGTTGAAGCTAGCACTGATGAATTTGATCTCTTCACTGTACCTCCTACCTATGCAGCGGTAGATAAACAGTATTACATGACCTACAGACCAACGTCTCAAATTACAACCGATTCCAGTCCCATTGAATTTAACATCTCAGGGCAAGGGGTAGATTACATTGACTTGAGGAGAACTCACTTACATGTGCAGGCCAAGATACTCAAAACAGATGGAACAGACATTACAACAAATGAAAAAACAGCACCAGTCAATTTATGGCTTCAAAGTCTGTTCTCTCAAGTGGATTTGTCTCTCAATGGAAAACTCATTACGAGTTCGACCAATCTATATCCTTACAAGAGTTATATCAAGGTTCTTCTCAACGAAACCACATCAGTGAAACAATCTCTACTACAGTCTCAACTCTATTACAAAGACAGTGCGCATCATTTGGACGAATCTGATCCTAATTCAAGCAACACAGGTTTATTTGGAAGATATGAATACACTCGTCTTGGAACCGTGGATATGTGTGGACCTCTCTATGAAGATCTGATGGATTCAAAACGCTACTTGATTAATGGCGTGGATTTACAAATACGAATGTTCCGCACCCCTGCTGCGTTTAATCTCATGTCTGGAGAAGACTCACCCAGTTACAAGGTGAAAATAGAAGATATCTATCTGCGAATGTGTAAGATTCGACCCAGCTCAGCCATCACCACCAGTCATGCCAAAATTCTCACCCATCACACTGCAAAGTATCCTTTCACCAAAAGTGACATAAAACTGTATCTTTACCCAAAGGACAGCTGAACTACACAGTGGATAATTTGTTTCCAAAACAAGGTCCCCAATAAAATTGTAGTAGCGTTGGTATCTGCAGAAGCCGCCAATGGAAGTTACACCAAATCTCCCTTTAATTTTCAAATGTATAATCTCAGTTCTATTGTTCTTTATGTGGATGGAGAATCACTACCAGGGGAACCCCTACGAGTAACTGATCAACAGTACATTGCAGCTTATAATACTTTGTTTGAAGGAAGAGCATCCAGAGAGGTTTGATATCAACAGGGACGACTTTAAGGGCGGATATGCTCTCTACCAGTTTTGTCTAGAACCTTATCATTTGAAAGACGACTACTTGGATCTGATAAAAAAGAGGAAGCGTAAGGCTACACGTTCAGTTTAGTACAGCATTACCTGAGACAACAAATCTGATTCTCTATTCTGAGGATAATCTCATGCTGACAGTGGATAACGCAAGAAATATATTGTACTCTACACCATGAATTCACTCCAACTGATGTGTGCCCTTGATGCGGATGGAATCACAAAACAGTTTAATGTTAAAATAGGTGCAGCAGACCAACTTCCAAAGAAAATCATCTCCTACCCTCGAGGTTTTATCGTCAATACCCACGATTCAACACAACGAGGTCAGCATTGATCGCTATTTGGTTACATTCACCAAATTATGGAGAATTCTTTGACAGCTTTGGAGAAAGACCCAGTTACTATCGAAGAGAATTTCAAGACTTTTAATTAAAATGGATCATGTTATGAATACAATACCAAAGTACTTCAAAGCAGTGACAGCTCTACTTGTGGACTGTATTGTGTTTACTACATTATGATGAAATGTAGAGGATATGTGTTGTATGACATTCAAGTAGTTTCACTTCAAATACAATGGTCAATGATGCCATGATGTATGACTATGCTTCTAAGTATTTTAATGCATGTATGTAAAACTGTCCATACTATCTAGATTTAGTGATGGTTAACTATGTTTCATGTTCATAGTGATGAGATAATGTACTTGGAAATAAACATAAAAAACCCTAAATTTAGCTAGCCCACAGAAGTCCCCAATCGGAGAAGGACGGTTGGGAGGTATGGCACTGTGTTCTGTTATTATTATAGATGTCTACAGACAAACAACAAGATATACATGTTTTTCAATGTTTAATGACCCCGTTTCACAGGAGTAGAACTACAGGTTAGGGGTCAACCCACAGTCTACTTTACAATCACATAAATTTACAATGTAATCCATTTGAAAGGCTTCTTCTTTTTCCTCTGTTGAGTATGCGCTGGTATTCCCGGAGGTTTAGGCCTCAGTGTCATTTCAGGTGTTTTGGAATTCATTTCCACTTCCAGACGTTGTCTGTTGCCTACAAGTCCTTGCGGCACGTGTATGTCTTTTAAGGCCTGATAGAATTCAGTCATTCCCTTGGGTTGAAAACGTTTATACAGATACTGTGAGTCCTTGAGTAAGTCTGCAATATGACTCCCCTGAATGACTTGACCCTGGTAGATGAGTACACCTTTCCGATTCCATGACAGTCTTTGGTCGGGATCATTTTGTATGTGTCTCAATAAAGCAGCACCTCTCTGTCTGTAAGGTTTGGGGAGCACACTCAGAATCAAACTGGTATCCATGGGTTCTGACTCATCAATGGTGGTATGATGAGTCACATCTGATGACGTATCCATTGCACCACCACCACCACTCAGTGGATTCACACGATTTTTCAAGAGTCGTTTATATTTATCCATAGGAATGAGCACCTGTTTTTGGATATGCTCCATTACAAAGTCTTCAATAAAGGTCCAACAACCTTCAACACTAAACTAATGACAGCCACACTTTTGGGTAGTAATTGCTGTTTCTTTGTCTTAGATATGGTTTTATCACCGAGAAACCGAAGTACTTTTCTGTGTTTTCTCAGTGCAGTCAAATGTTTCTTTGACAGAGGTACATCTGAGTGTAACAGATTATAAATAATCTCTACCAAGGCTTTTAACTGGTCATCAGTCACACTTTGCAACAGCACCTTCTTTTGAACAGGGGATGTATTCTCCTGCAAAAACCGTAAGAAATATCCGTTCTGTCTGAGTGTCTTAGACATAATGACGTTCCATTCAATGTTCAACACAATTTATAAGCACAACTCTCTGACTCATGGATGACTCCCCTCATTGACCATGACAAACAAAGTCACTGCTATTTATAGTCTCTTCCAACTGAGTCATATGTGTAGTGACTGTCATTCACAATGTAGTCCATGGGTAGAGGACTACCTACCAATATGCTTCTATCCTTCCATGTTAGAGTTAGTATGTATCCCACAGTTATTAACAACACAAGTATACACCATAGAGAGATAATGGTACGTTTCAATACAGGGGGGGGAGTTCCACGTTGGTTGTTGTGGGAATATTCAGAGACACGTGACAGTCGTCAGCTTGAGACTCCATGTCTACAAATGATAAAGTCTGTCTTAATGACGACTACTTATACTCTTGGCACATACACAACGGGATCTTCCCCTGGGAAAATGCTGGTTCTGAGTCGTAGTTTGTCTTCTGTACGAGGAGACATGTCCAACACCAAATATCCATAAGGCTGTTTCATAGCATCAGTATATGCCTCCACTAATACACCACCCCGGCCAGGAAATAATTGTCTTCCAAGGGTCATTATCTGCGAGGTATCACGCACATTCTTGAACAAGACCAGGTACCACGTGTTCAAGGCTATGGTTCGTGCTGACTTGCCTTGCCCATACAAGTTCTGAGTTATAAAGATAACACTCAGACATCGATGATGACAGCCTTGTGTAAATAACAACTCCATGTCTTTAGAACTTAACACATGATGTAAAAGATCATCCAGGATGATGAGCCCATGTTGTCCATCAGAGGAAAACTGTTCAATGTCTGCTTCGGTGGGTAATCCTTGTTGGAACACAAGGTTTGGCACGGTTCTTTCCATGTCGTCAAACAGAGATTGATAAACACCATAACAGTACAATATTTTCTGGGGTGGGTCCTTCACATACATGCCATTCACATGTTGCAACAGTCTATACACCCACTGCGTCTTTCCTGCTCCTGTGGGTCCAGACACACAAATACTGGAGCAGGGTTCAAAAGGTGTTAAACTCTGTGTTTCCCACCAAGGTTTAGTCGGATCAATCACAGCTTTAGGACTCCAAGTAATGGCTGACTTGGGTGTAGTGGGTTGAACTTCAGTCATGTCCTCCCTCTTCTTGAGCCAGTGCCTCTTTCCATCAGAATCTAATTTGTGAACTTTGGATAGATGTAAGGGAAGTCTCAATAAATGTCGAGCTGAACAACCAGGTACAGGACAGTCTTTTCTTAACCTACCCATCTTGTTCAATATATTTCCTGTATAAAACTAATCCTATTTATAGTGTGGCTCCCTATGGCTCCCAAATGGCTCCCAAATGGCTCCCTAATGGCTCCCAAATGGCTCCCAGATGGCTCCCTAGTGGCTCCCAAATGGCTCCCAGATGGCTCCCTAGTGGCTCCCAAATGGCTCCCTATGGCTCCCTGTGGCTCCCAAGTGGCTCCCAGATACCTCCCTATGGCTCCCAAATGGCTCCCAAAATGGCTCCCTAGTGGCTCCCTAGTGGCTCCCAAGTGGCTCCTTTGGCTAAGATGGCTCCCAAATGGCTCCCAAAGTGGCTCCCCTGTGGCTCCCAAGATGGCTCCCTAGTGGCTCCCTAGTGGCTCCCCCAAGTGGCTCCCTGCGTTTCCCAAGTGGCTCCCTAGTGGCTCCCAGATACCTCCCTGTGGCTCCCTAGTGGCTCCCAGATACCTCCCAAATGGCTCCCTGTGGCTGCCAAGTGGCACTGACACAATAGAAATGGTCCTGACAAGTACTCAGCTGAGTCTGACCTCAAAAACCATAAGGCAAAGTATCAAAATTAGTCTGAATAACACGTTTTGTATATACCATTCTATAGGTTTTGGTTTCTTTCCTGTTGTATATTTTTGCTGAATATTTGTCTCTTGTAATTTTTGAAGGATTTACCACTTCTAAAGTTTTTTGTTTGGGGAATCGTTTCTGTTGTGAGAAAACACCATGTCTTTGACAGACTCAAAATTGATTAATTGTGAGTTGGTATAATTCAGTGTAAATCCTCTTACTTTGCAACATTCTTTTCCAGATTTTGTTTTGTAGGCATAATTCTTTTGGCCCTCCTGAACAAAAGGTCCGAATGGGGTCTCCTTCCAATTCATCGGTGAGTTCGCCTAAATAGTCCCCCAAGGGTGGATTCACATCACCAGGGGCAGAGACAAAGAGGACAGAGTCAGTATCATAGTACAAGACACGTTCTTGTAGCATGTCCAACACATTGTACAATTTTAGCCTTGCATAGCAGGTGGTAAAAGTGGCAATAAAAATATTGGTGACATCACTGTTTGGAATGAATTCTGAGTCATGAGTCCACTGGAATTGGGCTACATGATTATTCAGAATGTGAAAATCATGTAGGGTCTTTTGGAGTCGGCCAAAAGTTGATACAATTCTTCTAGTTTAGTACTATGAACAAATTTGGTCTGTCTCATATTGGGTCTTTGAGCATATTTACCCCAGAATGAATTCAACATTAGTTTTGACAGGGCTCTCAACCCAGGGTTTTTCTCAATTTTTCTTTGTCTAACTTAATGCCTTCATTCTTTAGATAGTTGTCAATGTATTTTCGTTTCTCTGCGTCTGACTGACACCATGCCGGCCAACCTGAAGATTCTTGCTTGATTTTCAAGAAGGTGTTGATGTAACTGGCAAACAAACCGCCTGATTGGGTCGTTTTGTGATACTGGGTGGTTTCTGCCCAGTGATAGACTTCATATACTTTTTGAATTTCGTAACCCTTTTCAAGTGCTTTGAGCAGCTCTGGAAGGCACCATGTCCCAGTGAAGCAACGTTCTTCATCAGTGTGCTGACATGGTTCTTGTTGTTCCGTTTCAGCACAAGTGTGACACAAAGCAAATTTTAG